CAGAGCTCCACACTCCTGCTCCAGGAGAGAGAGAGACCCCTCCATCACTGACACACCTCTCTAGAGCAGAGCTCCACACTTCTGCTCCAGGAGAGTTCTGGAAGTCCTGTCACTCTTCCAGTCATTAATGTCATCACAGTGAGCTTCATGGTACACAGAGGATATATCCCAAACTTTTTTTAAACACCCTTTTACACAATTGTCCCCTATCACTTTGCATCAGTGTGTGCCATGTGACTGACCGCTGCCAGGGGGATGATAGAGTTCTTCAGGAATGGCTGAGTGACCACAGCGAAGTCTTCTCTGCCATCATAGCGCCCCCCAGAGACTAGCCTCTCTGTCTCCTCCTGGACAGGAAGAGAGAGTGAGAGTCAATGACACACTGAGTACCCATGCACTCCAATATACACCGAGTCACACTATTAAACTCTGATACATACCAGTACACACTGAGTCACAAAGAAAAACTCCACTACACACCCTTACACACAAACAAACTCTGATACACACTGAGTCACACCTACACACTCCAATACTCGCTAAGTCACACTGACACACCAGTACACACTGATATACAAGAAGTCATTTGTTGTGACCCGGCATGCCCCTCACTGACCTGGTACTCTTGGTTGATCCTCTTGATCTCAATCAGCTCCAGGGAGTTTTCACCTGGTATCAGGAAACATGGACAGGAGTTCCTGGAGGGACAAAGACTATCAGGCACAAATATAGACAGTCCAGAAGACATACAGTATAAACAGTGATATGGACACACAGTCAATCAGACAGGTCAATCAGACACAATCAGACAGACAAGCCAGCAGACAGAGAGTCCAGTGTAGAGCAAAGGCATCACTCTGAACACTCTGAATGCCTGCAGGTTCAAAACCCAAATGGGGCACAGCTGTACATAACTGAGCATAACAGACGCACCTCTGCAGCAGAGAGCAGCCCAGGGTGTCGCTCCTGATTCTCCGCAACCCCTCAATCTGCAGGATCTCCAGGACATTGACAAACACCCGTGGCACCTAGACACACAGGAGAGGGAGGTGGGAGAAGCAGATGAGGAGGAAGGCAGGCAGGAGAAAGGGGTATTGAAGGCAGGGTGCAGGTTTCAGGATGCTGACTATGTCTGAACAGGTCTGGATGAGCTGACTCTCACCTCCCGGTACAGCAGGTCCAGGCTGTCTCTCAGGTGTCTGGTGTAGTTCTGTACTGACAAAGTCTCCTGCCCAGGGAGACAAAGAGAGCAACACTGTCACAACATAGTCTGCACAGCACCCTCTTCCCCCTCCTACACCTGGTACGCCCTCATGCTCCTGGAACACCCTCGTACACCTGGAACACCCTCATACACCTGGATCACCCTTTTTACACCTGGAACACCCTCGTACACCTGGAACACCTCCTACTGTACACCTGGATCACCCTTTTTACACCTGGAACACCCTCGTACACCTGGAACACCTCCTACTGTACACCTGGAACACC